GGTCATATTTTGGCTCTTTGGGACTTGTTTCAACTTTCTTCAACTTGAACTTGAACATGAGCAATTGATGGTTTGTTCCATAGTCAGCCCCTGGTCTAGTTTTGACTGATGATATTGACCTTCTCCATTGTCTATTTCCACAGATGTAGTTGATCTGATTCCTGCATATTCCATCTGGTGAAGTACATGTGTACAGTCACCATTTTTGTTGTTGAAACATAGCTAAGTCCTAAAAAAGGCTTTTGACATGGAAGCTCCAAGGGCCTCCTGGTGGGTGAAAGACATAGATGCACATGGGAAAGTAGTGCATTCTTTTTGAGACATGGAAGCTCTACATTGTGAATTTTCTGCATCTCTTCATTATGTTCTTTTTGCTATAGTAAAACTGCAATTGTTAGGTATAATACTTTCTGTGAATCATTCTAGTGAACCGCAGGGAGTAGTGGGAGCCAGTAGGTCAGAAGTGACAGGGCATAGGGACCCCTGAGCTTATGGCTGGTATCCTGAGAGGGCAGAGGAGGAAACCCATGAATTTGTAGCCAATACATCAAAAGTGCAGAGGGCCTTGGAGACCCCCAAACTTATAGCTGGAATTCTGACAGGATAGAGTAAAACCCTTGAATTTGTGACCTGCAGGTCAGAAGTGAAGCTATTGTGGGGACCTCCAAGCTTGTGGCTGGCATCTGAGTCTTGGGCAGGCTAGGCAGTCAGGAGGACTGTGTCCCCAAGCTTGAAATCTGACCTACCTCTGGTGGAAGAAGTACTGCATATGCAGTTGAATTGAAATTGAGTTTCTTCAATTTAGTTGGTGTCAGAGAAGTGGCATAATTTCCTAGATGGCACAAATAGTTGAACACTCGCCTACTTGCCAAAAAGTCAATAATTCAAGCCCACCCAGTAGTAACTCAGAAGACAGGCCTGCAATGTCATAGCCTTGAAAACCCTATAGAGCAGTTCTACTTTGCACATATGGAGTTGCCATGAGTCTGAGTCAACTTGATGGCAACTAATAACAGCAACAACATAAAGCCCCTCAGCCTTGGGCTTCAGCTCTGCCTCCAGCTCCCGGCCCACTGAAGCTAGAGGCTTTTCTTCATTCAGACAATTGCTGGCAGCAGAGGCTGCCAAGTCCAAGGTTGACAAGTAACAAGGCACAGTCCCAATGTTACCAAACCACATGGCAGGCCATTAATTCAAGTCCGTTGTAAGTCCCAAGGTTGGCAGAGCATGGCAGGCTGCTGAACAATGACACAGCCACATGAGGATTCAAGGTGCCATAAGCTAGAGACCATTCCCAAAGCTGCTTCTTATATACAGGAAGCAGACCACATACCCAAAGCAGCTACTCAGCTGCTTGTGGTAGATCCCATCATGGAGTTGACTACCAGTCTCATCATGGGAAATAACTACCACCAGCTGCCCAGCCACTCAACCAGGCCCAGCCAAATTGACACAAACATAACCACCACAAGCACCAAGACACCAGACCTGTGACTAAAGTCTCTCTGGACCTCCAGCCCAGCCCAGCCCAGTAGCCAGCTGAATGTAGCCAAGTGGTTGATTTAAGCCAATGCCAGAAAAAGCAGAGGAACTGCAACCATGCCCTGCCCAAATTCCTGACACACAGAAAAATGAAAAATAATAAATCTTTGTTGTTTTAAGCCACCCAGATTTGGGGAAGGTTGTTACATAACAATAAATAACTGATCCATTCACACTAACTCCTCACCAGGAACGCCCTCCACTCCTGCTTTTCCAAATCCTACCCATCCCCTTATTCTCAACTCTAATCATATCTCCTTCCAGAAGTTTCCTCTTATCACCTCTCGTCACAACTTACGCCCCAGCTACCTGCCAGCTCAACACTCAACACTGATGAGTAAATTCCAGCTCAGTCTTTAAGACTCTATTCAGTGGTTCCTCCTGTAAGAAGCTCCCTTGCTTTTCACAGAAGCTCTGGGTCTTTTGCATGCCCCACACACGTATGCAGACCTTTTCTGGTGGTCAGTTCTCTGTTTGCTGTTTGTCCCCACCAGACTGTCATTCTGTCCACACATCCCATACACATAGCCTACTACCTCCCACACAGCAGGTGTTCAAAGAGATTTTGTGAAATAAAATCATTGGGCTTTTACATAATATCTCAACCATTCTCTCTGTTGTTGTTGTTATGTGCCGTCGAGTCGGACCTGACTCATAGCGACCCCTCCTTGGGTTTCCGAGGCAGTATCACTACGGAAGTAGATTGCCCCATCTTCCTTCTGAGGAGTGGCTGGTGGGTTTGAACCTCCAGCCTTCTGGTTAGCAGTCAAGTGCCTTAGCCACTATGCTACCAGAGCTCCCATTCTCTCTATAGAAGTGTGTATCTCTTTACTGCTGTGATTGAAAGTGCTCTGAGGGTAAGGATCATGCCTCACAGAGCCTCTCACATACTAGATGCTTGATAAATGTTCTGTTGACCAATGTGTGAACTTAACTCAAGACTCATATCTGGGTCTCTGACACTTAAGCTCCAGATCTCCTATCCCCAGCTGTTATGCAACCATGGATGATACTCTGCTTTTTTATTTTTGGTTCTTTTCAATCAAAGTCCATGCCTTTTACATTCACAACAATGAGTTCATTCCAAAAGGATAATCTTTTGAAAGCCACATTCTCATTGTAGGTATTCATCTCCAACTCCTGCTGCAACAGAGAAGCATGAAGGAGTTAACACAGTTTCTCACTCTAAGAGTTGCAAGTAAACTGGAAATAGCTGGTTCAATCTGTTGGTGTAAAGCACAATCCAGACAGCATTGCCCCCACAGAGGATAATCATTCTATGTCTTGTGACCTTTACTCAACATTCCAGAGATAGAGGAGCTGAGTGGGCCTGGGAAGGACAGGGGCAGGGTTATAAATAGTGTGGTGTGGTGGGAGACTCTGGTTCCTACTTGGCCTAGGTGACTCCTCTGCAAAATCAGTTCTGTGCTCCGGGAATATCCAGAGCATTTCCCACCGGACTGCCTGGACCCTCCCATCCGCCCTGAGAGGCTGGCACCTGACCCAGGCCCTCCCCAATCAGGCCAGGACATGCCTGTCTTTTGTACTCTAACCTTCAGGTTTTATGTCTCAGCAGGGACCTGCTTGTAAAATCCTACAGGCTCATGTGTGGCCACGGAATCTCAGCTCAACCTGTGTCACCAGAGCTGAACAAAGTGGAAGAGGTGATAAAGATGAGAAGAGGGTAGATGACAGGAAAACAAGGAGAGGGAAGGTCATAAATAGCTTCCTTTAGGGCAAATAGCCTGCCCTGGACAAGTCCTATGGACCAAAGAAATCTGTGTCCAACTCTGGGAGGCACCAAGAAGATGGTGCTGGAGTGAAAGACAACAGTTCTTGGGTGAAAGTGACCTGGGTCCCAATCACTGCTCCACCTCTCTGCAAGCTGTGTGACCATAGACATACTTCCTCTCTGGAACACAGGTGTGCCCTCCCAGGCTGGATGAGAAGCTGTGTTAACTCTCTCATGTTTCTATGAGGCCAAATAAGATGCATCCCTGAAGTGGCTGCCTTTGGGTCAACTTGAACCTCCAGTTTTGGTTAGCAACCAAGCACATTAACCATTTGCATCATCCAAGAGCCAGGCACATAGAAAATGCTTAATAGATATAATCTCTCTTCTTGTTCCCCTTCACTCCCTGCCTGCAACTAGAAAAAGCTGTATCAGTTTTGAGGTTAAGTAAGAATCTAGGTACAACAAAAGCTCTGTCCTTCACAGATGCTGTGTTTAGCCCCCAAGTAACACATACATTAATGCAATTGAATATATTATTCAAAACTATTAAGGGTCTGTTCATTCACTCAGTTGTTCATTCAGAAACTATTTGTTCAGTATCTAATATATAGCAAGCATTGCTAGGAGCACTATTAGTAAGCTTCATGGAGGTAGGCACTGTGAGGCCTTCAAAAGTTATGCCCCTCAACTGCTTTTAACCATAGTCCTGTCTGTGTCTTGGGGTCCCTGGGTGATGAAAACAGTAAGACACTCAGTTGCTAACTGGAAGGTTGGAGGTTCAAGTTTACCCTTGGAAAAATGGCCTGGTAATCAACCTCCAAAAAATCAGCCAATCACCAAAAACCCTATGGAGCACAACTCTATTCTGACACACACGGGTTTGTCATAAGTAAGAAATGACTCAAGGGTGACTGTTTTCTGGTCTATATCTTTGGAGAGGAAAACAACAGCATTCCATCTGCAATTATCTGGGCCCTAAATCTCAGAGAATGGGAGATTCTCTTTGGAGATGATGGCAGAGAGTATAATAATACAAACAAAGTGATGCATATAGAGAAGTGAATGGATAAGCATACAAGAGACTTCCTCAGGAGAAGAGGGGACAACACTACCCAGTACACCAAATCATTATGTTAAAACTTTGACCCCAGCTCTAAGCTCACCACCATGATCATATAGATCAGTATTTTTCAATCTACCTGCAGTAAAGCACCATATTGCCTTTTTTACTTTCAATCTGTTGCTCATGGACACTTTTATAAAATACACAAATCATGTGCTTGAATGGTGCTGTGATGTCAAATTATTTTAAAACCAGTTAATGTTGAGTCAATTCCATCTCATGGAGACCCCATGTATGTCAGGGTAGAACTGTGTTCCACAGGGTTTTCCATTGTTGATCTTTTGGAAGCAGACCACAAGGACTTTCTTCTGAAGCACTTTGGGTGGCCCTGAACTGCAACCTTGGGTTAGCAGCTGAGCACATCAATCATTTGCACACCCAGAGACTCCCAGATTATTTTAAAGGTTTCTAAATGCTCACTCTCAGTGTCAATATCTATCTCACTGCTACCTAGCAACAATTTGTGAACTAGCATAATCCATGGATCACACCTTGAGTAGCACTGATGTAGTTTAGAGAATTCCACACACTGTCCAAAAACTAGCAGAATACTGTCAGATGCTACAGACAAATACCAGAAATGGAATTGTAAAGGTCAACTTACTTGCTGATGGTTGAAATTTGACCAGATCTTGCAGGTCAGTAGAGATCTGGAATACATGGCTGTAGAACTGCTGGACGGAATTCTTCAGGCCAGAAATGTCTCTGGAATGTGACCGGAGGGTCCCATTCATCTGCCTGACACAGCTCCACAGGCTATTCACATGCTTGTTGAGCCCTTCCTTGATCCTGTGAAGACTTCCTGAGATGGAGTCCAGTTTGCTGCAAGTTTTCTCCATCTGTGACACCCTGCCCTCAACCATGGAGATCTCCGTCTGGACACCTTGTGTGTTTTCTTTACAAGTGTTCAGGCCAGTAAGGACTTGGCTCTGCAGGCTTTGCAACTTCTCCTCCAGTTTGCTGCAGCAACGTGCCATGGGAGCCTGTGGAGATGGAAGAGTCTCACCTGCCAGCCTTTCCTGCTCATCCCCCTTAGTAAATCCATCTTCTTCAGTGTCTTTATCTTCTCTACAATTGCGCATCTCATTCTGAAGAAGAGTCACATCATTTTCTGTGTGATTTAGTCGAGAATAAAGAAAATTAAGATCCTGTTGAAGTTTTTGGATACTGCGTTCAGTTTCCTGAAACTTCCTGTGCATTGTGTCATTTAGAGATTTCAAAAGCCTTGAACTGTCACTCATTGTGTGGTCTTCCCCATTTGGCAAAGTACCTTCTATCCCATGAAGTTCTCTTTGGAAGTTCTGATGGCAAATATCCTCAACAACTTGAACTTTATCCTTCAGGTGGTTCAATTCAGTCATGACCTGTTCATTCCCTGCCCCTGACACACCTGGTAGGGCTGAGCCCGAGGGAGGGAATTCTGCATCAGTGCTATTGGCAATCTCCAGGAGAACGCCTTCCAGACGGTCTTCCAGAGACTGTATTTTCTGATCAAGAAGTTGCTTCAACTCATTTATAGCTCCACTAATGGTCCCCCGAAGCATTTCCTCAATGTAAAAGCAATGTTCTTCCGCATTCTTCTCTGTCACATTGATCCTTGCATCTAACTCATTCCATCTTGCATCAAAGTCCACCTCTGGTTCTGGAACTATAAGGCGGTCAAATTCATTGTCCAGTCGCCCATTCAGCATTCTTGTGGCTTCAGCAACTCTTTCAATTTTCTGATCTAACATTTTGATCTGTTGACCAAAGTCACCATTCTTTTCTTGGTCACAGCAGTTTGTCCGGAGTGAAGGATTCTGTAGCTGAGCTCGAAGGTCATTTATTTCTTTTCTCAGGTTCATTTCCTTCTCCCCTATGAGCTCCACCACACCCAGGTAGCTGCTCCCATAGTCGTCACACTGCTGCTGGAGACCAACTAGCTTGTACTCACATGAGTTCTTCAAATCAGCCAGCTTTCTGTCCATTCCTTCTATGAGTTCCTCTCTCAGGGCATCAATCTTACTATCCACATAGGCTTGGTAAAGTTCATTGGTTGTCATGGTTACTGTAGGGCCCTGGGCAGCCTCCTGGAGCTGTTTTAGCTGCCCTTCATAACCTTTCACTTTCCCATCCAGCTCTTCCAGCTTGTCACTTTTGGTCTTCAGAGCATCCTTGACTTCGGCCAATTCAGACTTGATGTCCTTCATGCCAGATTCCTTGTTGTTGATGCCAGGAAGCTGGACCAATTCTCTGTCTCCACCAACAGCACTGTCTGGTGCTGACTGGGGGTCCAGGTTGCTGGGCCATGATACCAGTATTTTACTGGCATCGTCCTGGAGGGCATGTTTGAGGTTTTCATTCACTCCAGCAAGAGAAGACTGGAGGTCAAGAACCGTCCTCGTGAGTCGGAGAACCTTCTCTTCAAGCACCTGGATTTTCTTTTCCTGAAGTTCTTGAGGTTTCTGTTTTGGATCTGTTGCCTGACTTGGTTCTGTTGCATGAGTTGGTGCCAAAGTCCTCTTAGGCCCCGGGATTTGATTTGGTTCATTATCTGTTATAAAGAAAGAAATGTATATGACTTAACATTCTCTACCTTCAGCCAGTTTCTACAAAGACAATCAGCAGGGTATTTATGGAGCACACTTAAACTTTCATTTATAGACCTGTCACCTAATTGCAGGCAATTATTATGTTAAGGTGGAAAGAGTGTGGGTTCTAGATTCGAACAGACCTCCACTTTCATTCTGGCTCTGTTATTTAATGTCTGGTCTTTCTGAACAAGTTAATTAATGTCTGTGAACTATAACTCCCTCATTTATAAAATGGAGGTACCATCTTCCCTCTTGTGCTGTTAAGAGAATATGTACATGGCACATAATAGATAAGCAATGATTCCTTTCACTCCGAAAAGACATATTCTTTATCTGGTTTATCATGTGAATTTATCACTTCCCACATTAGTGAAATGAAGCCACCCCCCAATGGATAAGTGCATACTGTAAAGCCACAAAATGCCAGTTTATGAGATCCACCCATTAACTGTTGAATGGTATGATATCATATAAGCAGCAAGTTATCCTCAAAATAAATCTTGAATGTTATCTTTAATTTTTATCAGCATCCTTATGCTGAAAATGTGACAGACATTGTTTGGCCTTATTATGCAGTTGGGAAAACTAAAATCAAAAGAGAGATAAAACAGCTGACTTTATTAGCATCTCCATGTATACTAAGTCAAAGAACACAATTGTTGAGTTTTTTGTAATCCTGCAGTTCAAACCCACCAGCCACTCCTCGGAAGGAAGGTTGGGCATTCCTACTTCCGTAGTGATACTGCCTCGGAAACCCAAGGAGGGGTCGCTATGAGTCAGGGCCGACTCGATGGCAAATAACAACAACAACAACAACAACTTTGAGAAATATACCCTTAAGAAAAAACTCAAAAGAAAGAAAAAAAGATTTATTATAAAAATGATTGTGATGAGTCATAAAATGAAAATAATTGATAGATATAGAAATCGATCAACAAAATGGAGATTACCAAAACCTGCAGCAATAGGAGACTAATAAGCAAACCGTGCCCTTGAACATAAAGGAATACAAGGAATATTGACTGGAAAGGGGTTAGCATTGACAACCCTGGAAACAATATGAAGATGTATCCTGTAAGATGGAAAAATCAAACACAAAATAGATCACAATTAAATAAAGTACATAAGTGTTCATTGAAAAACATTGGAAGTAAATTTAGAATGTTGTACACATTTGAGTTGAATGCTCATTGATATTTCCTCCTCTAAACTTTTGCATAAGATCATAACAACAGCTATTATATTAAATTCAATGTAGTGGTAAAACCAAGGCTGATATTCAATTGTCTAGTCTCCCAATCGTATTCTTTCTCCGGCAGAGAATTATAAAGAACACCCTTCTTCCATAGTGAAAAAATTACCTATCTGCAAGATGGTAGAAGAAGAAAACTAGTGTTAAATTGTATACAAATGAAATGTTATTCTAGGCAAAGGAAATAAAAACAAAGGGCAGAAGAATGAGGGACAATGAAGGACATAGGACATGCTTCTCTCAGATACCACTGGCTACTGTAAATTGCTACAAATTTTTCAAAGGAAAATTTGGCAATATGGATCAATATATTTAGAATCCTTTAGACCTTGGAATTACGCTTCTAGAAATTTTTTCTAGTAAATAATGAGAATGAGGACAAAAATTTAATACAAAAGATGTTTATTTGAATATTATTTATAATAGTGAAAAATTGTAGACAACCTAAGTGCCCAACATCAGGGGACTGTTTAAACTGCAACATATTCAAACAATCAAATTCTCTGAAGCCATTTAATATTGTAGAGTATTTAATAACATGAAAGCTGTTCATTACAGATGTTAAGTGAAAAACTAAGTTCTCAAAACAGTATGTTCTTTATAATGATAGTGGGTTGAAGATAAGCATTTCCTTTCACTCCCTCCTGAAATCCCACTAAAATGGCAAAAAAGAAAGGGGTAGGAGGAACCAACAACAACAGGTCACACATGAATTGGAAATTAGAATTGTTTTGGACTAACAGCAGCATTGGAAGCTAGGAAAAACTGAACAATGCTCAAAATTCTGAAGGAAAATTATTTCCACACTAGAATTCTGCAACTAGAATAGAAATATTTCCAGACCATAAAGTATTAAAAACAAACAAAAAAAGGTTTACCTCCCATGGCATCTTCTCCAGAAGCTAAGCTGCTGGAGGGGGTGTTCTACCAAAACAAGGGAATAAATCGAGAAAGAGCAAGTTGGGGGTGGGGAAGTGAGGTTGGGTGTTACAGGAGACAGAATCAAATATGAATGAGGCCAGTTAAAATCCCTGGATGACAGATGTGAACCAGGGAAGAACTGACCAGACCAGGTGGGGTGTGTGAGAAGGCTCTGGGAAAGATTTCTTCAAAAAGACGAATTTGATGTGTCTGAACATAAAGAAACCAATCTAAACTCACTGCCATTGAGTCGTTTCCAACTCACAGCAACCCCCTTTGGGTTTACAAGGCAGTAAATCTTCATGGAAGTAGATTGCCCCACCTTACCTCCATGAAGTGGCTGGTAGGTTTGAAGTGCCAACCTTCTGGTTAGCAGTCAAATGCCTTAGGCACTGCACCACCAGAGCTCCATAGGTCTGAACATAAGGACAGTAAATTCAGATAATTAGAGGAGAGTTTGAGTTGAAAACAGGATAAAAATATAGAAAACAGAACAAAGGAAAATATAATTATTAACTCTGTTGTTGTTGTTGTTATGTGCCGTCGAGTCGGCCCCGACTCATAGCGACCCCTCCTTGGGTTTCCGAGGCAGTATCACTACGGAAGTAGGATTGCCCAACCTTCCTTCCGAGGAGTGGCTGGTGGGTTTGAACCGCCAGCCGTCTGGTTAGCAGACAAGTGTCTTAGCCACTATGCTACCAGAGCTCCCAATTATTAACTCTAGAAGAATAAAAAATCTGTTGTAGGAAAAGAAAAGCATTCATAGCATACAAAATAGCTCAGCTGCAAATATCATCTGTGTACCAAAACCTAACCAAATACACTGCCATCAAGTCGGATCTGACTCATAGCAACCCCTCCTTGGGTTTCCAAGGCAGTATCACTATGGAAGTAGATTGCCCAACCGTCCTTCCGAGGAGTGGCTGATGGGTTTGAACCACCAGCCTTCTGGTTAGCAGTCTAATGCTCTAGGCACTATGCCACCACAGCTCCTTATCATCTACATAGTTTGTTTTGTTTTTTAATTCTCTAAATCTATGTATCTTCTCTTCATTTACCAGAGACTAGTCCAAGGTTGAGGAGCTCTGGTGGCACCATGGTTAGAGCATGGGGCTGCTGACCAAAAGGTTGGTGGTTTTTCACTGGAGAAAGATGAGGCAGGAAATCCTTTGGGGCAGTTCTAATCTCTCCTACAGGGTGACTATGAGTTGGATTGGACTTGATGGCAGGGGGCTGTCCAAGATTACACAACTAGGAAGGAGGCAGGCTGTATGCTATGTGTGAAACTGTCAAGCCCTCCTGGCAAGGTGGTCCTGGGTCTGAATCTCTGTACTTTGAACCTAGAATGTTAGAGCTGAAACAAACCATTTGGTGCCTCATTTTATAGATGGGGCAACCGACGTCCAGAAATGGCCTGGGTATTGTTCAAGTTCACCAAGTTAAGTAAAGGCCAGAGCAGATCTGGAAACCAAGTCCCTTGACAGGTTTGGAAGTAGACAGATAGCAGGAGTGGAAATTAAGAGAGAAGAACAAGGGAAGAACTCTCTTGGGATGGTATCAGACTGTGATAGTTATCAGTAGGGTCACCAGGGGTTAGAGCAGGACAGAGAAGAGTCCTTCGTGTCTATCTGAAGTGTAAGAGAAGGTGGAGGAAACAGGACCTCCCCAAAGGGTGGGTGGGTTTCTAAACTGGCATCCTTTGGGGCCCAGCCCAGCCAGCCATAGATTTTTGTGTGTGTGTGTGTGTGTGTGTGTGATTTGGGTGAAAACTTACAGAGCAAATACATTTTCCATACAGCAGTTC